ACCTTTTATGTACAAGTTCATTATAAAATATTCCATTTAATTCATATATTTTCGAGTATTATTTATTAAAACAAAATAATAAATTCGAAAACATTTCATTGATTGCACTGATTTTATTGTTTTAATTATTTATCTACATGGAAAAAGGTTTTCTATTACATATCCATTCATTTTTCTCAAATAATTCAAATTATATCCTAATGAGTTAAATTAAATCCTTCTGAATTTTCTAATTTTATAAAATTCGTAGTAGTAATTATTATAATTCTAAACAAAAAACTTATTTGTGGATCTGTTACAATTGTAATATTCACGACATTCAAGAAGCATGAAGGCGATACATAATATAACACAAAATTTCTCAATAATTAATATGTTATTTATTTTATCGTAATATATTAAATATTATAAAAAGGAAATTAAATAAAATATTTTTGTGTTATAACTTAATTGTGAAATGAGTTTTTATGAATTCATCTAACAAACAATTTAAAAAGTCACTTAAAGCTTGGTAATGAAAGAATTATTCTCTCATAAAAACTATTCTTATATAAATTAAATTCATATTAAATGAAGTTATTAAAATGTATTTACATGAAGACCTTATCATATGTACATTTAATATATATGATTTTCTTTCTAGTTTACAATAGAATTGTATACACATTATCATTATATAAAAAATGTTTACCATAGTTTTCATTAAAATGCAGAAATAAATATTTCTATTTATTTGTTCTTTTTTATTTCTATAATATGACCCATATAATGCAAAATGTTTTATTTTACAAATATTTATTTTGATACATTACATTGAGAGAATATAATTTTAACAGTATTAGCAGACAAAAAATAGGAAAAAATAAATATATACATCTCAAGCATTATAACAGTAATTTATCCTTAAATAATTGTAAACGAAAAGCAAGTATCACTTATTTATTTCCCAAAACACATGATTTATTTGATACATCTTTATAGTTTTATTAAAATTTTATATTGATAAACACCATGAAGGAAAAAACTTAAAAAGAAAGAAAATAATATACTAATTGTATATATAATGAATATTACAGCACTTGCATTTTATATATATACATATATATAATGAATTACTTAATAACTGAAACAAAATAAATGTTATTTTTAGTTTACTATGTAATTTTACTATAGAATATATATATTTGTTGACTACATAATATATATATTTTTATATCTTAATACCTTTAGAACATAAAATATTTGAGGTGCCTTTTTTTTATACATTTTTTTTTTCTGTAAATGGTTCATAATTTTTTTTATTATTACACATATTTTTCGTGAGCTAATAATAAAAATCAGATTACACAATTTATATGTAACATTGTTCTTCTCTAAATGAATCTTTAACATGATTGATTATATTTTTCTTAGTTTAGGAATATTTTTCTACATAATTTATTTTGGAATTTATATTCGCATTATATTGGATTCATGCAACTTCTTTAGAAAAGAATATATCGATATAATAATTTTTATTAAATTGTTATAAATAATAAGATGATTATTGAATATGTACAATTTATGTTATCCTGGCAAAATCTTATAAATATATTTTGATTTGATATTTGCTCAAATATTTTCCTTCTATTACATGTAATTAAAATTATAAGAAAAAAAAATGCACTTATAGCTAATATATTGTTTTAATTTACTATTATAATAATATTCAATGTAATACAATTTATATTTTCCATTTTTTTATCCTAAATAATCATGTTTATGTTCTATTTTAGCTAAATTATAGAATTTTGTTAAAAATCTCTATAAATTAATAATTTGTGTTTTTATTATATATAGTTCTTTAATTAATAAATGGAGAAATCATAACAAGTAAATGCAGTATATTTAATATTATATATTGTCCATAATATTTTAATGTAAATTTTACGTTATCAAAAGAAAATATTATATATAATTACAATATAGAACCTATTTGTTCTCATATGTATAATTGCTGTGTATATTTTTAGATATATATTGTCTCGTACATGATTAACGTTATATAATAATATGGATAAATCTCTGACAATTTTTTAAATAAAATGTTTCTGTTAAAGATATAAATTTGCATAAGAATAAATTGTAGCATTATGAGTTATTTCATGCATTAAATTATTCGTAGTTATAATATATTAATTCACATTTTGTAATATTATGCAATCCTTTTAATTCTTAATACACCAAACATTTATCAAAAATAATTTAGTTTTAACATAAATACTAATGGAGAAATATTATTATAAAAATATAAATTATAGATTTTACTTTTTATATAGGTATTTGATACTCAAATTTTTTTATGAAATAAATAACATTACATGTATTAACATCTAGCACTCATGCAACCTTTTATTATTATTTCTATGTTAAAATTACTCTTTAATAAATGAAAAAACATTTGAATTAATGGCAACAATAATAAATAATTTTTATACATTTATTTATATGCAACATTTAACTAGAGATTGTTTAATTGAACGAATTATATATATATATGTGCAGATAATAATGTATTGCTTGATTTATACTATATAAGTAATGTGTGAAACCGAGTAACATCTTACATGTACGGATATTTAATATAAGTAAAATATAATTGTACAATTTTTTCATAATCTATTCAAATAAAATATCATTATATTTACAGTTCTTTTGAAATGTATCTAAAGGTTCAATTATTCTAAAAAATTTATATATTCTATATGAATAACTACATTATCTCAATTTATATATATTATATACTCAGTATAATATATACTAATTATCTTTAACTGATAAGTATAAATATATATTATTTTATAAATTTTATATTAAATTCCTTAAACAATTATTAACGTGGAACGTATGCAAAATTGTTTGATTATACTCATGTATTATTTTCTTGTGTAATTTAGTTCCAAGCTGAGCAAATGTAAAAGTGTTAAAAAAATTACCAACATAATAAAGAAATTAAAAAGACATATTCATGATGTATTACTGCTGAACGCTCATCTATTTATGAGAAAAATATATGATTTCACACCTATTATAGTAATATCTAAACCTAAACTTAAAATAATTTCCCATAAAATATAGTGGTATAAATACACTTCTTTAAGACAGTGTTATTATGTATATATTAATATTTAATAATAAAAAAACAATAATCAATATTTATTTTATGAAAATAATATTTTTCTATGATTTTATTTCCATTCCTTCTAATATAATATTCAATATTCATTTTAGTACAATGTTTAATATATTTGTTTTAAAAAATATAATAATTATATACATATCATTTTTTAAGGAAATCATATTTTGATATTTCGTTATATATTTTTTATTATTAAATATAATGAATAACAATATAGCATTTATGTATATAATATTTTCAAACAATAATGAATTAATGTTATTCCATACTACAATACTATATTAATGAACTTGTAACAACCATAATTAATATGAAAATAATAAAATCCTTATATAATATTTTTTTTTAATAACATAAAAATTTAACAATTTAAAAATAATAATGTAAACAAAATATAATTTCATTGAAAATAGATTACGCAAATATTAAATACATGATAATAAAATCTATAATATGTCATCAATATTTTCTAATATCATGTCATAATGATCATTTAAATAAAATAATTCATTTTTTTTTTTATAATAAATGAATAAACAAAATATAATTTTAATAAATTTCTAATATCATAAAACGTATTTTTGTATAAATTCTTAAGATTTATTCTGTGAAATATTTATTTGACTTCCACTTAAATTCCGCACTCTCATATACAATGATGAATTATAAGGAAATATTAAAAAAGCTGTTAATATATTATTCATTATATTTTACTTACATATTCCATTAATAACTTTAACAAGATACATTTTTTTCATTTATACAGTGGATCATGTATTATAAACTCTATATTATTTTACAATGCATATAATTATTTGATAACATTAGAAAAAGTATTAATTCTAGTTGATATATTTTTTCTAAAACAATATATATATATATATAATGAATCTAATAAAAAGTATTTTCTATATTTATAATCCTCAAAGTAGTAAGTAAATTAATTACATCCCAAATACTTTTGTTTATTACATAAGTATCTATTATTATATTGAAGTTTTGCGTTGGGTGCAAAGATATATATATCAAAAAAGACGTAAAATTTACACACAAATAACCTTTAATTGATATAGATAAATCATATATTAGATATATAGTGTATTGTAAATATATTGTGTCATATATACCGAAAAAAAACGTCATGAAAAATCTATAATAATATATGTATATTTAATATTATCCTACATTGCATATTAAACTCATATTATAATTTATATTATATTAAATTATTATTAAATACTGTTCATGGAATTTATGTGTAAATAATGTGAAAATTAATAATTCCTTTCGATAAAATAATAATATTTTTTATGTAAAAATAGCCCCATTAGTAATAATCAAAGATTATTTATTCCAACTGCATATTGTTTTATATTAAAGACATATGTACTACTATAAAAACTATCATAAGTATAGAATAACATCTAATTATTTATATAACTAAAATGACAACATATATTAATATTGTATATTACTTTTTTTATTGAAGAATTTTATAAGCTTATATAATTACCATTTATACCGATAGGATAAATTTATATTTTAGCAAAAATAATTTTTTTTTTCTCCATTTATGAATGACTTATTTATTCTCTTTATTATTCCTAAAAATTATTAACATAATGTATTATATGACCCATCTGTATACTATTATTTTTTAAGCTAGTAAAATTTAATAATCATCTGATAAATTCATATTTTAACTACAATTTAATAAATGCAAATTTATTCAGTATGAAGCTTTTCCATATTATGTTTTTTTACTTTTAAAAAAAGATATATATATATGTTTCTTTATTTTATGTAGTTACTGAAAATACATATGATGATGCCTGACTCTGAGACATCGATGGTAATTTTGAATTGATATAATGCAAGGTCTATTATACATGTATCCGTATGTATCATTTTATGTATATATTATAAAATTTTATTCTGTAATGTGTAATTTTTGACCTAGTATATTTTTTTTCCTTTTTTTAGTATGAAACTCTAGATTTATTTTTTCCTGTGTGTGAAGGAATTATAAATAAAACCATTGATGACAATATAACCCAACGTTGGAAGAGTGATTGTCAGAAAATTAATGGAGATCTTATAAACCATATTAATTTGAATGTTAAAAGTAAATTATTCCCTAAGGCCATGGAATTCTTACATGATATGTATAAAAATCCTGATAATCCATTAAAAGAGGCTACTTTATCTTACTTGTATTATTGGCTACATAAGCAGAATACAATGGAGAGGGAAAAAAGTTATGATAACACCAAAATTTTTAAGGAATTCCTCAAGGTATATAAAAATTCTGTTCACGCTAATTAACAGAAACATATAATCATGAAAATATTTCCTATAACGTATTGAAAAATATCACAGATATATATGAAATAAATAATAAACTTAAAGATATACAAAATGATGTTATGTATTGTAACCTTAATAAATGCAAATGTGCACAGGAATGTGTGACTTTATATATGAACCTCAAGATTTCATGTGATTCCAATTATGATTCCGATTTACATAAGCCATTAAAAAATATTAGAAATAAATTTTATACACTAGAATTACATGGAAATTGTGAAACTACATTACCTGAAGTGTTATCCCCTTTAGAAATACAAAAACAAATTTTACCTTCTTCCCCAATACATAATGTAACAGATCCTATTTTAATTTCTATCATTCTAACATTATTAATACCCGTTTTTTTTATCTATCTGTATAAGGTTAATTAGAATTCTATATATATGTGTTTATATTACAAAATAATTTTCACTTATTATTTAAAAAATAATAAAATTATACAAAAATATTGCATTTCTTATGCACAATTTTATTCCTTATAAATAAGTTCACCCCATACGGTTCATATTTATACCGTGCAATAAAAACGAAAAAAAATGGGTTGAATAATACAAATGAACAGAAATATACATTGCAATCTTTTGAATCATATAGAAGCATACCAGAAAATAGAATATATGATGTACCACATAATTAAATCTAAATTTACAAATAAATATATAATTTGAATACATATTTTAAATACATATATAAAATTAAAGAAAAATATGTAGAGAATATTCTCTTAGCTGAATTATATAAAATTATAATGAGTGTTATAATATAATAATAAAAAAATTTTAAATACATTTTTCAATTTAAAATGATAATAGTTCAATATAAATAATTTCATCATACATAAAATGTAATATCCCAGTGGTATAAATGTTGAAGATAATTAGTATGAAATAATTTATTGTTTGTTTCGTTTTAATATTACATACCTTACAAGAAAAAATTAATCAATTGTTATTATACATTATATCATAAATAAAATAATAATATTCTATATAAGGTAATATATTAGTGGATATTCTTACTATAGATTGTGAGAATCAATGAAAATACATGATATAAATTATTTTTATATATGTATTATGTTTTTTTCTTACAAAGTTTTATTAAAAGAACCATTTCCAATTATTTTATAAAGATTAATAATTGTTTTTAAATTATAATAAATTTTATAACCCACATAATATATTTTAATGTTAACCCTATTATATGCCCTCATGATTATTATATTAATGTGTGAAATTTGTTTATATACATGTTTATTCAGGTTATAGAAGACAAATATTGAAATATATCATTTATTTGTTATGTTTTTCTATACAATTTTATTTAGATAGCATAATGTAATTTTCTTTATTTTTTTGTGTTCTAATCTCTATATATAAATTTTTATAATTTCTGTTTTGCTTCGTTAAATTATTTTACATATGCCCCTATATTAATGAAAAATAAAAAATAGCATATATTTTGTTTTAAGACATAATATTTTGAAAAATGATTATGTCATATGTTCAAATCCTCTGAGTCATGTTATCAATAATTAATATGTTTTTTTTTTTTAGAATAAAATTTAATCTTATATATAATTGTAAATAAAAGAAGTACATATAATTCTATTAACATTTTGCATGCTTATAATCTAATTTAATGTATGAAAAATAAAATAAAATAAGTAAATTATAAAGTATGCATTCTCTATATAAATACATGTTAAAACCAATTAATATATTAGTAATACTGTTATAAAAATAACAAATACCTTATAGGAAATTTAGCATCCATATAAGTAATATATGTAAAAAAAAAAACAACTGTATTTTTAATAAATGCAAAAAATTAAAAAATTAATGTACAACTGAAAAGAAAATAATAGTGTACGAAATCCTTATATTCCTCATTTTGACCATACTTGAAAATCACATCCGTCAAAAAAAAATTTAGCAATGCACATATTTAATTAAAAATTATTTCATTTTTTTTTATAAAGAGAGATTAATATATGCATATTTAAATAAAAATAAATACAATACCAAATATTTAATCCTATTTTTTTTCTATATAAACGTTAATATGTACACGTGTATATTAAATAAAATAAATAATGTTTTTATCTAAATGCCTCCAAAATAAAAATTTCAATCTACTATGAAAAAAAATATATTACTAATATAGCAAACGAATAAAAAACTGAAAACTCATTATTCGATATAATGTGAGTCGGTGTATATACATTCATTTTAACAAATACATATGCATTAGTATTTAACATAGAAATCTGCATAAATATATATGAACATTGGTATTATCAATACTTGTATGTATCTATATATAGCATTCCTTTTTTCATACATTAATAAAATAATTTTATTATAAAACATTTGTATATTATATATGCTAAGGTATTGTGTAAATTTCTATTATATATACATTTTATAACACAAATAAATCATCAGCTATCTAATTTCTCATAACGGATATGCATAAATATTATTTATTTTGAATATTCAGGATATTAATGCTTCTTTCGAATTTGGTCAAAATGAAGAAATGTATGATGTGTTCTGCATTCATATAAATAACTGCATCACAAATATTAATATATTTAGAAGCATAAATAGAAAATAATATATATGTTTTATTATCAATTATGTTCTTCCTTATGTGTATATTTTAAATATTTAAAAAGTTTGTAAAGGAATAAGTAGCTGTTGTTACAAGTACATAAAATAATATTCTCATCAATACAATCCGAAATTATATAAAAGCATATTATGCCATTTTTTTAGACAGTATAATTTTGCATATCCGAATGAGAACTAATAATTTGCACATAATTCCATAATATATGTTTTTTCTTCTAAAGGTTATAATTTTATTATTACCATTAAAACAAAAAATGAAAATATAATAATAGGTAAAAGGTGTTTTTTGCATAAAATTTTTTCAAAAATATTATCTACATGACAATGAATTGTGGTTTATATAAATTAAATAAAATTATTGCTTTACATATTTGTTTGTTACATACACATGGAATGCATATTCAACTTAAAGTAAAAAAATGAATTCACAACACAAATAAAAATTACATAACCTTACGTATTATAATACATGTCTAAATATAGGTGATATTTTTCTCTTAGTTACTATTTCTTTTTTACAGTGTAACATATATAATAGATATTGTTTTATTGGGCAAATGTATTCATTCATTTTTAATAATAAGAATGAATAATATTAATTAATATAATACGAAGAGAAAATATAAAATATCAAAAAATAACTTGTTCTAAAAAATCACAAATAAATTCTAATAGTAAATTGATTCTGCAGAAACATTTAAGATGTTATATATATGCTGCCATTATTTTCATAAAGCTTTTACAGTAAAATCAAGTGGAACAATAGAATATTAGACATATAACAATTGAATACTCACAATATATAACGGAAAATGTTGGATGTAATGTTACATTTATAAATTCAGGAAATTGCATTATCATAATTCTTCTGAAATATACTTTAACAATACGATAAAACTAAGTTTAATGGATATATATATTTATACTATCATAGTATGCTCCACAGCAAGTAATATTAAAAATTGCATAATGTTATAATTCATATATATTGCATAATGACTACAGACAAAATTCATGTTAATTAAAACAATCCATTTTAATGCTCTTTCACGTAGCTCTTACAATAAAACAACAAAATTATAAAAAGTTCTAAATGATAAACCCAAGCGTTGGTAAACTGCTTCATGCGTAAAAATATAGTCTTTTCCACTCTCATCAAAACTGGTGAAAAACGTACCTCAAAAGATATTCTATATTACCGCTCTCATAAAATAGTAAGGGTACATCATTTGACGAATACATCACCTTTTTTTTCAATTGTATTGCTTCAATGAACATAAGTATTATACAACATTTCAGATTTCGTTCAAAGAAAAATGTGATGCAGAATATGATAAAAAAAAATAAAACCACTTATAAAATATGTAAAATGTAAAATGAATACTTATACGTCCAGAAAAAATACACCAAAAAAAAAAAAAATAATATTTTATTCAAATTATATGAATATATTAAATTTCAACTAAAGAATTATACGTCAATTCAGAATATGTACAATTGACAATTAGATGAATACTTATGTATATTACAGACAACTTGTAATAAGGATAAATTCGCAGAAAAAATCTATATTATAATGTAAAATACTTATGAGCACCCAGACGATATAGAAAATGAAAAAATGGATTAAATAAAAAAAACATAGCGAAAATGGAACATGAATGAATTTTAATTCATCCTGCGATTAAGCAAGTAGTTGATGGAAAAGTAAATTCTAAAATATAATGTAACATATTAAATTACCTATAGAAACTACCGATAAAGAAAAACATAACATTCCTCCTCAACAGCAAAATATATTAAGAGAGTTTGAATAAAACAGTTATTGTGGCAATTTTACAAATATTAATAATATAATAGTGAAAATTATTTACAAAAACCAAAGGAAAAGAAGCTAGGAAAAGTGAAATTATTAGAATAGATATGATCATCCTTATTAAAGTACTAAATAATCTACAACGCGAATAATATTGCTATTGAAAGTAGCCTTATATATTAAGCAAAAAATCAAATTAAAAAATTTAACAATTTGTAATCACATCAATTTTCTAAAAATAATATTGTTAACACATTTAAGACGACTGAAATAACTGCATATATAATTCAGCAAGTATTAGGCGTGTCAAATCAAGTATATTGTATATTTGAGTATATGTAAAATTAAATCAGGAACATAATATAAGCCAAAAAAAAAAAAAAAAAAAATTGAAATCAGTTTAGAGTGCAAACATATCGACAAATAAATATATGAAATTGAATAGATTCACAATGCAATAACGTTGAATTAAGATGTAAGAGAAGAATTTTCACTATGTGATACAAACAGTTATGAGGATAAATATGAAAATCCTAAATGCATTCTTCAAATAGAAAAAAAGCTAAAATGTAATTTTCTCAGAAGAGAGAAGATAATCTGGGGAAAACAAAAAATATATATTTAAATCCAACATTTTCCTATATTTCACAATAGTACAACTTTTTTAAATGAAAGGACACACAGAAAATATATCATGTCTACGCCTAAGAAAAAAAAAATTGTGCTTCTGTAAACTCTGTATATAGCACTGTATATTTATAAATATTTTTCAAGTCTAATATTTTGATTTTTTTTTTGTTTTTATCTGCTATATTACCCTTTTGTTTTATTATTATTTTTTTTTTTATTTTTTTTTTTGCATAAATTCCGTGTAACTGTTCAAATAATTTGAACGCTATGCTTACTTTTCTGATCCCCTATTACTTCAATTTTTTTATTTTTAAACTTTTCATTATTATTATATTAAAACTTCCTTAATGTGAGGATAACAGGATACAGAAAACAGGGTAAAATTTTAGGTTTACATTTTAAAACGATTATAGATTTGCTTTTTTTTAATTTTTCATGCAATTATAAGGAATTATAATCTTCAAGAATAAAGAACAAAAAACAATTCATTTTTTATTCAAAATTATTTTTCATAGCGTGTTAAAATAAGGGAACCCGCAAAAATTATTTATTTTATTAAAATCATTATATGTAACTTCCACAAGAAAAAAAATCACACAGTCATATAAGTACGATGAGGGGCATCAATACTTTGTTATTCCCTATTGATTTGTGAAAAAACCGTTATATGCTTACTTGTGAACAAAAAAAAATTAAGAATTAACGTAATGAATTTACTTTATATGAAAAAACATTTTGCTCATTTTATTATTATAACACTATTCTTTTTTTTTTTTTAATTCTTTTGCCTTTCTTGGGGCTTCATGAATAAGAGTGTGTATTTATTTTTAGATGAAAAAATATAAAAATTCTGAAAAATACTCAAAATAAAATATGGTGAAGATTACTCAAATAAAAAAATAGAATTTGTTTTTTTTTTTATATATAATTACTTCTAACTTGTTATTTATTAAATATATTATTCTTAAATAACTGATAATCTGAATAGCAACATGTGTACTGAAAAAAAAATAATAATAAAGTTGCATATTGTAAAAAAGTGTCCAATTATCAGTTATACTTGCTATAAAAATTACAAAATATACTAGCACTATCGTGTATCTTCAAAACATGATACATAAAAAATAATTATATTTTAATTATAATTTTTTTTTAACATTAATTCAGTTATCTTAACAAACCATTATATCTATACACTTATAACATAGAGGTGTTGTAAATCATAATATGTTCAAAAATATTAATATAAATTTTCACTAAGGGTTGTTCATACATCCCATAAATGCCTACAAAAAGTGTTATTTATGTAATATTTTTTTGTTAATATGTGTAATTTTTTTTTTTGAAAAAAAAACTACCCTTCCAAGCAATGTTCCTTTTGCTATTAAATAAATATTATAATAATGTTGAATATGTTTCTTCTTAAATTGTTAATGCGTAATTTTTGAAAATATAACATTTAAAAAGATAAGCATTCACAAACATTTAGGTATATTATATCCAATTCTATGAGCAAAATGTGCATAACAAAAAAAAATCCTATCGGCAACTCTTTAGTTGCTACCCTAATATCCAAGTGTAACTGTATAAAAGTAAATGTGAAAACCCTAGTTCTTAACGTTATGTTCATATTTATACTAATATGGAAATATAATTATTACTACCCTGTAGAGTAAGGCTAAAGTTTTTTGATAATGCGAGTGTACCTTAGTTCACTAAATTGAGCACTCCATTTTTTATTAATGTTAACACGTTTTGTGCTCTTGTTTAATGCATACAAATATTATGCGTACGTATAACACGTATACCTATATGACTAAACATTTTTTTTATAATAAAATGAAATACGTAATGTTCTTTTTCTCCTTCTAGCACACCTATAAATATCCGATTGTGTAAGCAAAATATGCCTCAAATTTTATCAAAACAACGATTTCAAAGAATCATGGCAGAATATAAAAAAGAAACTGACAAAAAGGATTCGAATTCAGAGAAGAAAAATAAAGAACATAATAAATCTAACATCAAAGCAGTCCAATCAGATGCTCTGCATATTAAGAACTTAAAAGACATATGTACACACATATCAGAATCATTGCAAAATGTAGTTGATGGGATGGAAAAAATGTATAACGAAAAGAAAAATAATGTTAAATCTAAGAACAAAGACGAATTGAACGAACAATGGATTATCTTTTTAGAACATATATATAATACCATAAAATATAAATTAGATTTAGTAGATTCTTCTGAATGTAAAAATGAAAAAAATGTGGATGCACTGTCATCCATGCTTAGAACAGATTTTGATTTCTTAATGGATGAATTTAGTGACAAACCAAAAATTGTGAGAACAACAATGATACCTAAAGGGGACCTATCATGAAAAAAATACATATGTGTGATAGAGTTGTATTAGATATTATAAAGAACAACTAATGATAGTACAAATAAGGTAGGTGAAAAATACTCTCTTGGGATAGAAGTAAGGGAGATATCTGATTAAACAAGTAATAATAATATAAATTAGAAAAAAGAAAATAGAAGAAAAGAAGACATCTCATATGATAATTAATAATAGTATGAATCAGAAGAAGAAAGGAAAAAAAGAAAAGAGTTATGATAATAAGTTTTTAAAAATATATTACAATATAATAAATTATAAATATAAAATCAACTGTTTTAAATAAGATAATCATATTTAAAATCTTTTTATTATAAAATATTTCCTGTTAGTACGTTTCTTCTATAATTCTCTTCCATATTTCTTTAGAGATAGTCTCATTTCCTTTTTCATCCATAACTCCTAGACAGTTTTTAATTCCATTTGATTAAACAATTTTGAAATATTCTGTAAGAAGATTTAAGCATAATTAACTTTAATAATTAAATTATACAATTATATAACTTCATGTAAACTAATTGTAAAAAATAGTCTCATTTATTTTCGATATATATGCACAATATATGACTTTTAAAGCATTATTTATTGATGTACCATTTAATGCAAGTTGATAATTACATGTTAAACAAAGTTTAATATGAAATTTTTTTTTATTTAATTTTATTTTCACCTTTTTTTTTTTTTATGTCGTACGTTAAATATAGCATCTGCTTCTCTTCAGATTCACATTTTCATGTAATGATATTTGTTTCTATGTCTTATATATTCTCCAATCCACAATTATTCTTTTTTTCTATTTTTTATTTAAAATAATTACTTATGTAAGCATATCCCTATTTACTTTATTGTAATTTTACACTTTTTCAAATAAAACGTTTAATTATCAATAATTCTATCATATTCACTGATAAAGCAAAAAATATGGTATCTTCTTTCAATTATATATATATATATATATACTGAGATTCCAACTGATACTCAGATGATTAATATCCAAGTTTATCATAATTATATTTACTAATTCTTCTTTACATTCATGCAGTTTTATTCAGCTGCGATCCCATCTATGTTGAGACTAGCAAAAAAAAGTATAAATAATGTATAATATATTGATTTCAGAATTATAAATATTAACATAAATCAATTTTAAATAACAGTATGAAATATTTGTATGTAAAGGTCAAATTTTTAATTACCTTATGATAAGAGAGGTAGAAAACAATAGTTCCCATTATTGAACCATGTATGATAAAGCAGCAAAAGTTACCATATTTAATCATGCTATTATTCGTTTTTATAATATCAACTGCATATGTGATAAATTTCTTGACATAATACGTATTATCATATGTTTATGTATTATGGCGTCTATAACTATTTGTAGTTTCCTTTTTTGTTAAAACTAGTTCATAGCAGGTTTATATATCTCTGTAGTTGTGTCTGTATTTACTTGATCCTTTATTAAATTTTTTCTTCATCCATATATTCTTTTATTTCATTTAATAATTTATTTAAAATCTTTTTAACACTTCAAATAAGCAGCACAAAAATAGAATTAATATTTTTTGTCATTACAACATATGTAATACTTTTTTCCCATGTATAACCTTAATATAAAATAAAATATTTTTACAAAATTTTCACAATTTTCCTTATTTTTATGAATTCAATTAATTTGTCTAAAATTTTGAAAATAATCCTGTAAAGCTACTTCATTCAGTTCTCTTAGGGTACCAGAAAAGCCGCTACTTCAAAACGACTGATTCTTATGTTGTGAGTTAAAAATTGATTAACAATATGTAGCTTGGTTAATTTATGGCCCTTGTTATATATTTTCCATAAGTAATCAAAGAGTCAATTTTTAACGTAATATAAAATATCTTTGTGTTCACTCTGATCTTTTCTAGAAAGTCTACTTAAAGAATTCACTGCCTAGTTGCCTAGCATGTTAACCATAACATTACTGCTTTCTTATTTATTGCAATGCTTTTTTTTTATCATTTAAATGTTCTTCACTATTTTCTTCATGAAACCTTTTACATGAAGGTAATTTAGCTGTTCTTTTTTCTGTTAATTTTGCATGAAAAATAAAAGAAGTTTATGTATATATTTATTAATTTAAAAAATAATACTTTATTATTCTTAAAAAAAAGGGTATAATATTCAAATAAAGAAATATTTGTATAATGAAAATGTAAATATAACTATTCCTTTCTAAATGGAAAACTCCGTTTTAACATACCTTAATTAAATTAAATAAAGATACTCACAAGTCTCCTTCTATTTATGCATTAAATATAATAACACATTGTCTACTCATATATAATACATAGTTGCAAATTAATTTTGAAAAGAAAGAAAGCGCATACATTTTATAACTTTTTTTTCATTAACAAGATCTTCTATTTTACTATTATTGCCATAAGAAATGAAGATTTCTAACTATACATAAATGTCCAAGAGAATCTATGGTTCTGAAAAAAAAATAAATTTAATAGTGTCAAGAATCTATATAAATAATGTATAATAAAACAAATTATTCTTATGTTCGCAAAAAATAGGCTGCATCTTCTTCATGTCATAATTGATTATGTTCCTCTCTTCATATTTCATCTTTTGAAAATAAGTGTTATGATAATGACAAATGTACTCGCAATAGTTAAATGACGCTTGATTCTCCACTAAAAAGTGGTGGAAATTCTTTTTATTATTATATTACTTTT